TTTAAAAAGAAAAGGGGGTAAAAAGTTTTCTTTTTTTTTTTTTTTTTTTTTTTTTTTTACAGGTGTTTATTTTCATTTTGCATTTTGCATTAGAAAGGTGGTAACAACCAAGAAAAGATATAGCAAATGCCACATCTACAATGTAGGGTGTGGTGTCCTACACAGGGCCCTATGAAACACAAGGGGGAAAACATTCTAAAAGTGGGGGAAGGAGACCGGCCTAACAACAATAATAGGGGTCAAATGATAATCTAATTCTTGTTGATTCATTCTCCAAATTTGGTGAAACCTTAAAGTAGTACAAACCACTGGATTCTCTCTTGGACTATGCACACACTGCAAATTAACCACATATCCAAACTGGTTTTCCCCTTCATTTATGACCCGTTCACAGTATTCACAGGATTCCCCACAAGGCCACCGAGGCCTGGTCTCGGGGCGACAGGGTGCACAGGGGCGGCAGCAGTGTCCTTGTGGGGAAGTTGCCCTCTCTACATTCAGTCCTGCTTTGCACAAGCAGGACTAAATGTAGAGTGAGGCAGCCGATTTTTCGTTTACATGTGAGATCACATGTAAACAGTGTGCAGCCTTCTCCCCCTCCCCCCTGCACTTACCTCTCTCCTCTGGTTCCGTCCTCCGCCGCTGAGTCTCTCACTGCAGTGAACAGAGCGGCATTAATACTAACCCTGCCGCTCCGTGTGAGAGGGGAGAGTTGTGCACCCCAAGGCACCTCCCAGCGGCCATGTACTTCAGCACAGCACAACGCGCGTTGCCACAGTACCATGTGTTGAAAAAAGTAGTACATTCATTGGGGTGCCATTCGACTGAATGGCAACAGGACAGATCTAGCGCATGGTACCACACACTAGGTGCCATACACTAAACGGACAGTAATGTGCACGTAGCACAATGCTACAGTGTGAATGGGCCCTTACCCTGTTCAGCCCCTTCATAACCAGCATGTTGGACCTGTGAAAATCTGGTAGATGGAACTTTATTTACCACCCACTAGTTTTCAAAGGGTGCTTTCTGTATTGTTATATGCGTTAACATTCAAATTGTGTGACTTAGAGAAGAAAAGTCGGAAATCTTTATCTGTATTCTTGTATGAGTTTGAATCTAAAGGGTCAGCATGACAGCCAGACAACCAGCTTTTTCAGGAGAGGCCTGCAATGGCAACCTCCATGTTTTCCTTTAAACAACTCCACAGCTCATTCATAATATTACTAAAAAAAAACTTAACTTGCAGCTTCCACGACATAGTACAAGTGGAAATATAGCCCAAAATAACTAAGGCATCAAGTAATATGATCAGAAAAATATCATGCAACGCTTTAGAGCTAATTAGCCTGAAACAGCTGCATTTAAGATGGATAAATGGCTCTATATTTAGGCTGTATCACTGCTATACACCCATGTAGATTTGGATATTGACCAATAATGGTACTGATTACTATTTTCCTGCAAATTATACTCTTGATCACACTGTTTTTTGGATTTAGAGACAATTAACAGGGTTATTCACAAAAGGGTGAAGAGTTTGGAGGAGGCAGGAGAAGTGAACAATCTAGGACAACATAGCTGAACTGGAAAGTGAGCTGAATTGGAGAATGTTTCCAGTTCAGCTATTTCGTCCTAGATTGTTCCCTTCTCCTGCCTTCTCCAAACTCTTCACACCTTTGTGAATAATCCCCACATCTTTCCTAGAAGAATGACTTAATGAGAAAAAAACACTAGATGGCAGTATATACTCATATATAAATATATCAAGCAAAGCAAGCGGAATACTCTCATGTATTAAAAAAAGTATATATCTGAGGAATAAATTGAAACTTATGCCACTTTACAAATCACTGGATGGGCCTCAGCTTGACTAGGCCATCCAGTTTTGGTCACCCATCAGAAGATATGTCCTAGAACTGGAAAGAGTCCAGCGAAGGGCAACCACATAAATTAGGGTGCTGAAGGACATCAGCTATGAGAAAACAATTAAGTAAATTAAACGTATTGACCTTAGAGAAGAGGCACTTAAGCACAGGTTAATTAATGTTGACTGTAAAATGGGAACAACTTGTTTAATCTGAGGTTCTTGATGAGGACACATGGCCACCATTTAAAGGGGTTCTAAACCCTCCGATTTTTTTGCCTATATCTACTGCTAGCAAGCAGTAGATAGATATAGGCAAGAAGTTTAAAAAAAAAACGCGCTTTAACTAGTTTTAAACTTACCTCGTTATCGCTGCTTGCTCCCGCGCCGAGAATCAGGAAGTGATCATACAGCCGCAAAGGATCTTGGGGCAGGCGCATGCGCAGTTCCGATTCTCGGCCGGGAGACGAGCAGAGACACAAGGTAAGTCTATGGACGTGTGCACCCGCCTGCAGACACCGCTGGAGCGGAGGGACAGAGCAGTCAGCTCTAGATCGGAGAGCCGCCGCACCGCTGGAGGGACACATGAAAACATGGGTAAAGAAGAGGAAGATCAGAATAAGAGACATCATTTAACCTCTTGCCGTCCGCCCGTTAAGAAAAAACGGACGGACGGCAGACTCGCATCAGCGCGCGCACGGGAGTTAACGGCTGTTTCACATACAACCGATCAGCGGCTCTATAGCCAGGCCCGGATTTCCCACAAGGCCACCGAGGCCCGATATAGCCACTGATCGGTTGTATGGCGTGAATTTCGGAGCGCCCCCCAATCGCGAGTGCCGCCATCTCCCCCCCTTCTGACCCCTCACCTTTTAATCCCGGGATCCGCTAGCCCATCTGCGGCCCGGGACTGGCTAGTTGGAAGAAAGGAGGTTTTATATAAAAATTGCGGAGAGGGTTCTTTATGGTCAGGGCAGCAAAACTGTGGAACTATCTGCTGTAAGTATCAGTTGGATGTATTGAACGCAGAAATATCCCAGAGCAAATGAGTGTGTGTGTGTATGTGTGTTTTACATGTATTCCATCATGATACTCACATTCTGAATAGAGAAAGGAAGAGGGAGAGAAGAAAGGATGGATAGATGAACGAACAGCAGTACTAAGGGCAGCAAAATGTGGTTAAATGCAATAACTAATAGCATTTAATGAGTTCCATATACTGAGCCAATGTATTATAGCATAAAGATAGCGTGCTATGGGTAACTGCATTTGGCACATTGGCATTTTCTTTATGGACCCAATCCCATAGGGTTAGAAAATGTATTGTACTGCATTGTATTGTTGTACTAGATTTGACTGCAAAGTTACCATAATTCTGCATTTGTCTGTGTCTTGCTTGTACACGTATCAATGTGTTCTTACTAAGAGCTATAATTATTTCCCAACAACAACGATTAAACTTCTAGGGCAGGTATTACATTGATTGGAAGCTCAGGGGAAATTACTTTGATGAGTAACAACATAATGATACATATGACCTGCATAAAGGAGAATCTTTACTGATAGGTTGGTTGTAGGTTGACTTCATCCTTTTGGTAGTTTTTGTGATTGAACATCAGTTTATTATTGTTGAGTAAGACCAGCATTGCTGCTTACATTCCAAGGGATGATTTGATCTATTGAAAGTTTGGATCATGTATTGCTTATTGTAACTCATAATAAATAATACACTGAATACTGTTTCTTTTTCTGAGTCCAGGGAGATAGCAGCCAATAAAAGTGAACTTTACCAGATGCGCATCACTCACATCTTGAATGCAGTGCATAGTCGCTGGAGAGGTGGAGAGGAATACTATCGGGGTATGAACATCTTGTACATGGGAATAGAGGCTCCGGACAGCCCGACATTCGACATGAGCGTCCACTTCCACCGAGCAGCAGATTTTATCCATCGGGCCCTCAGGGAAAGAGGTGAGGCATGAAAAAAAGTAAAGAACAAAGAGAAGACTTTTTTCATCAATGGACTGACAATTCACATTAAATTTGTAGACTTTCTACCAAATAACTATAGTAGAACTTGAGTGAGGATGTGGGGATGGCTTTTGGTATACCTTATATAACTTGTAACCAACTTAAATTGGTTGTGGTAATCTAGCTCAGCCTACCAATAGATTTGTAAGTAGGAGAACCTGGACTGGTGAGGGTGCAACGGAACATACATTTCTGTTGGAAAGTGAGATGACATTTTAGTTTAACCCTTTCGCTGGCAAGGTGTTTTTTTGCACACGTTATAATCCACATTTTAGGCCTGAAAATTACTTAGAATCCCCAAACATTATGGGGGTGATTCACTAAGCTGTCGAAGGCAGCCAAGGGAATAACTGAGCCAAAGTGAAGGGAGCCGAACGCAGTTTGGCTATGCACTTCAGCCCTGTATGGCTAATTTCAGCTGTACATTGGCTAAAATCAACCGTACATCGGCTGGCTTTGGATCCCTTCGGTTCAGCCAAATATGCTCAACATGTTCAAGTGAGCGGAAGTGAAGAACACATTTAACTCAGCCGATCCAGATGTTGGATCGGCTGAGCCAAACCTCTGGCAGTTCACTCACTGGCGTTCACCCCAATTCTCATAGGGGCCGAAAGGTAGTGAGTGAATAGCCGAATGTCGCCAAGCGTCATTCGACTCGGTTATTCCACTCACTAACTCCGAGGTAGCAAGCAGAATTAGGGGCTGAAATGCTTTTTAGATTCCCGGCGGGTTCCTGTTTGCGTGCGCCCCCTAGTAAATCAAGTAAATCAACATCCACCCAACGGGAAGCATCTGCCGCCGCTCCCGTAATTTTACAACGGAGCGGACAGCAAGGGGTTAAGGAAGAGATGCTGGCTAGGGGAACGCAACAGAACGCATCCAAAAAAGAAAAAGCAGAATTGGAAGTACTCTGACAGGAAGAAGGAAGTGACATAATGGTCTAATTTTGAAAAGAAAAACATGCATCTGATCGTGGCAAAATCACAGTAAAAATGTGGCAAATCGCACTGCAGCTGCGCAGACGCACGCAGTTGTGATGCAGTTCTGGTGTGAACTAGCCGTGTAAGCTTTTTAGAGAGTGATTCAAACCATTGATGGCAATGTTTTTTTATAACTGAAACGTAAGGGAGATGATTTTTCCTGTGCGCATCATGATGTAACGCCGCCTAAATTAAAAAGCAAACCTTACATAAAATTTCAATTATTGTGATATCCTTTTAGTCCGCTAAGTCTTTGTATTATTGTTTGGAGTAAGTATCTGCGGCTCAGCAAATTACATAAAAATTGCATGAAAAAGGAATTACAGGAGAACGCCTTCTTATCTAAATGTTCTACATTTCTACCTAATTAAGACCTAGGCAATAAAATTATGTTTCAAAATTTGCTATCAAATAAAACTTGTCTTCCAAATCTGCTTCCAAGTGAAAACACCTGCCTTAGAAAATGAACAACTTCTAATTGGTTAGTGTGAACAACTGCTTACAATTATAAGGTGTAGAACGGAGATATCTCTGCAACCACCAAAGCTTTAGAATTTAATGGTGGAGCAGCTGAAAAAAACTTTGGGATCAAAGTGGGTAATAATAATTATACATTCCTTTCTGATTATGTTTTTGTTTCTGCATTAGGAAAGATTCTGGTCCACTGTGCCGTGGGAGTGAGCAGATCAGCCACATTGGTGCTTGCCTATCTTATGATCTACCAGCGGATGACGTTGGTTGAAGCAATTAACACCGTAAAGGACAAGCGAGGAATTATTCCTAACCGTGGATTCCTAAAGCAATTGTTGGACCTGGAGACCACGCTCAGAAGAAACCACTAGCTACAAGCTTTCTATTAAAAAGAACTATGTCCACTTTTAAAATAGGCATCAATATATATTAGTGTGTAACAACACAATCCAACTTAGGCTCATAGACTGTGAGTTCCCAAATGGATTTCTTGCAGCTTCTTAGAAGTATCAGGAGCCAAAATAATCACAGAATCCATCAAATCTTCCAAATTGGACTTATACCTAAAACTAAACATAAAGTTATGTTAGCAGTAATGCGGAGATGGGTATATAAAGAATAACAGAGGGACTGACATACTTGCTTTCCAGGAGAAATGCTTTCTCCAGACTCCTTCAGCTCTGGACATGTGTGAAGAGCGACATATGACCAAGGGAGCCACATGGCCAAAGGGGATCTCTTTTGGTCCAAGGGATCTCCCTTGGCTAACAGAGGGATCAGAGTTAAGGTCAGCTTATCCTCCACTACAACAGTAATCACATGACCAAGTGCCTCGGCCTTGTGTCCAGGCCTTAAGGGAGCATGCAGCAGTATTTCTATAGGGTAAGAACTTTACCAATTCTATGACTCTTTATTTTTTCCATCCAGGCAAGACTGTTATGTAACCTTATGGTAAACTGAGTACCCGTGTACTTAAAGTAGAACTGAAGCCGATTTTTCAGTTTCAGATAGAGTAAGGAAGGGTTATAACCCCCGTCCGCTTTTTTTGTCATTGGAGAGATTTTCCTTCACTTCCGGTCCTATAGCCGCAACAGGGAGTGAGAAGAAATCCCTCCAACGAAAGGGAAATCCATGGTGGTCACAGGGGCGTCCCGTGGCGGGGTGACACCTCTAGACCGGGTGACAGCCCG